AGAATTCCATGGAATTTCACAATTTTCGGGCAATTTTCGACAATTTGCACAGTCCTTGACCGAATTAAATTGCATCCGAATAAAATTTTGAGTAAACAGACTTTGATTCCTGATGGTGTATGGATACATTGTTGCGACTGAAGACGATGTTGAAAGAGAGCACACTTCACACTTAATGATCAGGTATAAAATGGAAACTACTAATTTCAAGCAAAAAAAAATGTCCTTGCATTTAAATCACAAAAGAGCTGAAATTTTGCATATTCGGTTTCTTTTTTTGCTTAAAATCACAATTAGCTCTCTGGTCTACGAAATCAAAATGGGGTCAATCCTTTGTTGCGCAAAAAAAAATATGAGAAGCAAAAAAGTCGTGACTTCAATAGAATTGGGAAGGAGAGAGAGGGAAAGAGTGAAGCAGAGAGTGTGAGTGTCCAACTATGCACTGGCAGCTATAAGAAAAGATCAGCCCTCAAGTGCGATCAAGACCAAATGTGGGAAGACTGGCTGGCTGGCTACAAATGTTTAATAAATGAGATGAAAAATGACACCTGTTATCGAAGTGGTCACATATCGTTGTCGATGGCTTTTGTTTTGTTCGCTTGTGTTTTTTTTTCTTCTCTCCTTTTGCTCTTTATCAGACCTTTTCATACCATAGTCAAACAATAAGATTTTATATGATTTAAAAATAAAGTATGGGCTTTTGTTGTTTATTTTTTGTTTTCTTCTGTAGGCCATTCAGAAAGCAGAGAGTGAGAACCAACGAGAGAGAGAGAAAGAAATAAAGTAGAAATCACAATTTAAAATGACATTTCAACGGCTTTGGGGCTAAGAATTGATTCTCACCAGAAAGAAATGGATTTTTTCCCATATTCAGTTTTCAATTTAGAAAGCCGTTCCCAGAGCGACGATTGAGTGTGGCGTGTGATATTCAATCATCGCAATTCGGTTAATGAGAACCAAGAGGGTAGACAATGTAAGCCCTAAATTTTCAATGTTTGTTATACATTTTAAAAAATCATTCGCCACGGCCGAACATTCCATCGACTATAGTCCAACCGGAGAAGAAAAAAAAAATCAGTTCACTTCACAGTCCAGGGAAAACACACACAAACACACATACGATACAAGAGAACAATTCCAGTGTGCAGCAAAAGCAAGCCAAAAGAAGAAAAAGAGAGAGAGAGAGACTCGAACGAGTGAGGTGAAATGAAGAAGTGATCTTCTGTTGAGCCATTCTTTCTTTTTGTGCGGCATTTACAAAGAGGGAATGTGTAATTAAATAGTGGCCAAAATGAAGTGGCTCCGAGTGTTGATCGAAACGTTTACGCATTTCCACACACGAATATTGCACAATAATGAGGCTTCGCTTGGCTCTTCGGATGCGAAACCAAAACGAGTGGAGGAAAGCGTGTGTCGAAATGCGAAACCCAAGACAATCCATCTTCCTTTAACATTGCATTCACATTCTATTTTGATGAGATAAAAACACTCTTACAAATAGCAATTATATATATTATATTTTACTACCCGAAAACGAATCGAAAATGATAAAAGAAGAGAAACGGTATGCATATAGGCGAGAGAATGAAAGAGAGGCGATACCAAGCCATCATTCATCTACGTATTATAATTTTTTTTTTTTTTCATCTTTTCGACCGTGCGAGAGTAAGAACCCAACCAAAATAACAACAGTATAGCACAGAAATGTGAGCTCCGAATACACTCTTTTTTTTCCTTCTTTTTCTTTTTCTTGCTTTAAATTTTATATGTACATATATACCAAACACGCATATTCATTCCGATGGGTACTAGTCGTCGTCGTCATCGTTCGATATATGTACCGCACATATCGTGCGAACAAAAGAATGATTTTGAAAAAATTCCCATGCTCTACAAATGAAAAATTCACACATAACGAAAGCCAAAGCCAAAAACTAAGCCAACAGAAGCCAAGCCAAGCGAGGAGAAATGAAATAGAGAGGATGATGATGATGACGAGAGAGAACGACCGACCGAACGAATGAACGAACGAAGTGTGGAAAGGAGGAAAACGACGTAAACTACACATACAAGCGAAGCATAAAATGTGGAAGCATGTTTCTCATACTCGAACTGCCTTTTGACGGCTAATTTTTCCTCTGCTTATTTTTTTTTCTTTCTTTCTGTATCAGCGCGCGCACTTATACACTCGCACGCACACGCATTCGAACGCTCTTCATCCTTATTCCCTTTTTTTTGTGAATCTTTCGATTGCTAGTTGCTGTTTCTTGCCCTTTGCCGTTGTTGTTAATGTTGCTGCCGTTACTGCTGCGTCTGCTGTCACTATTGCTATTGCTGTTTATTCTTTGGAAATATATTCACTTCGTGAATAGTTTTACTTGTGCATGCGATTCGATGCATTATTATGTGAACCAGTAATTCCGTTGTATGCATTGAGAGCGCCGCGCCGAATTCGATTGGGGGAAAAAGCATTAAACACAATATTTTGTGTGTGAAAATGTATGCGCATAAAATGGTGAGCGAGTGAGAGCGAATAGAGTGAGAGAGAGAGAGAGAGAGTACGAGAGCAATGGAAGACAGGCGCATACGGATAGATATAGACACACATAAACACGGGCCCGTTGATCGGGATTTGAAAAATATGTTTTCATGTTTGGTTATTCCTTTTGCTGCCTATTCGGAGTGTGTGAATTTCATAATCGAGACTTGTGCACAACTTCAACTCTCAACCTCACGAGAGCAGAGAGTGTGAGGAAAACCGAAACCAACACCGTTCTTTGCTGCTTCCACACAGGTAATTGGTTTTTGAATGAAGCAAAAAGCGAGAAAAAACAAAAATACGACAACAAAATAACAACAACGGCCTCGACCAACAAAAATAGTATAATTTCTCAATTCGATCAGATATTTTAACGCGTTTAATGTTAATCGGGTGCAGGGCGGCCAAAGATTTTATCAATTTTCCTTTGAACAGCGAAAAAAAAAACAAATCAAAAGAAACCAAATCATGCTCTTCATTTCTCTTTCACCAAACAAATTTTTTTCTTTCTTGTCTTGATGGCCGAAAATACATTTGATGCGGATCCTTTTTTATTCTTCTCTGCTCTTTCTCTTGATTGAACTCTCAGATCATTGCTCAGTTTATGCACTGATATGATTTTTCGGATGCGTTTTGATGAATCATTCTTCCAGAGTATCCTTGAAATGTTTGGTTGTTCGTTGGGAACAAAAACTATCACCACTTTTGCATTATCTCTCGAGCCCATTTTCTCAGTCTAAATTTAAACCGTAATGCATTTCGAGTGTTTGTGTGATGTTTGTTTCCACTGTTTTAGGATAACAGAAACATTTACAGTGGAAACAAGTATGCCGATCGTTTCCCACACTTGAACACAAACAAATCACAGAGAAAGAACAATATGAACCAATCATAATTATCGGTTTTCTTATTCCGTTTTGTGCTCGCTGACGTTTTTTTTTAGAGAAACAATTTTTGGGGGATTCATTTTGAGATGGCATTTAGGCTTTTCATGTAAATCAATGACGAAACCCAGATGAACAGCTCATGCGAATAATAATAATAATAAGCAAATGAAATGATGGACATCTGCGCGCGTTCCATCAAATAAGTCACACATTTTAACTATTTGCAATGCTCTACCTTTCGGAAGCGTGCTGATTGATTCCTTCCACACGCACGCAAACAAAGACGACGATCAATGAATCCCTTTTCAAATTCGGATGCGGAATTATTGTTTGGCGAGGGGATGTGAATATGACACACGAAATTGAATTTTAGTTTAATTGATATTGTATTTCTCGATGCCGATTTCTTATTAAATGTTGCCTATAGCTTCTGTATATACAGAAGCTTGGTTTACACTTCTTTGACTAAGAATGTTAGCCGAAAGCGACAAGATGAGAAAATTCGATTGAAATTTTTGCAAAAAGAAATTTTTTATATTATTTCTGGTTGTATTTAATGTTAACAGAAATCTTGATGACTTTTTTGCTTTTGTTTTGCTCAAAATTAGAAGAAGAAAAAATATGTCACAATCATATCAATTCGAGCAGTACTGTTACCCGCTTATCAAACATGGTTACAATTTCTCTTCAAATTCGTTGTTGATCATGATATGTGTCACATATAGGATCATGATAATGTGTGCAGAATCTAAACTTCAGATTGCGGTATGGCAGCGAAGAACATGCCAAAAACCGCGTATGCTCCCAATTAAAATGTATGATGAATTGTCGCTTGTATTCAAATTCTTCCCTTTCATTTCCTCGCAGATTGAAAACGGTTTTAGGCCACTATTTCAATGGCTTTTAGATTAGCCAGGAAGTGCTTAGCTCCGGCATAGATATCGTGAACTTGAATGAAGCGTACGCAAAATCATTGAAATGTGATGCGAACACATCGATCAAAAAAAAAAAAAAAAAGACGCGAATGAAGAAGAAAAAGAAAACTGTGCAATGTTTCAGGTTCACCTATTGATCATATAATTTGATACATATAAGCATCGTCGATTATTTCCGTCGACGGAATATAATCGGAATCACGAGGAAACTGTGCGAAACTCTCTTTCTCTCTCTTTCTCTTTCTCTTTATCTCTCGAAAGCAACGGCAACGCTTTTATTGTGTGTTCGTGCCTTATAGCCCCCGACCGTACATCATACGGCCCCGACCGTACATCAATACGCTCACATGCACCACCGTTTATAAGTCAATCAACTGTACACAAAGGTACATATTAGCGAAGCGATTCTCATGAGTTTACCTTTTCTCCGTGTTGTTCCCATGAAGCAAGCACACATACATACATCGAATAAACACCCATATACATACACACCAGAGAGATACGCTCAGGCGTAATCCTCCGAAGTGCGTACGAGGCGACACGATCTGTATGTATATCAACGAGGATCATAGCCCGTGTACATATATACCTGAATAACGCCACAGTGAATGAGAAACCGAACGATTCGGAGTCGTGTGAACTGTGAGCGCCTGTGAAAGCGCTATGCATGCGTATATGCCGTATATACACAACAATATTCCCGTCCATCGCCTGTACAGAGTAACAACCCATGCCATATTATTGTCGGTTTTTTCACATCGAGTGTCAGTTCATTTTGAGTGGTTGTAGGTTGCGTTTCATCCTTCGAACGAGAGCGCACAACGAGTGTGGTTGCTGCATATATCAATGTGTGTGCCCCGAACCGATCGTCAACATGACGATTGTCTATTTATTTATTTTTTCTGAATGTTTTTTTTTTATTGTGAAAAACTCTGATAAACACATTATATTTTAAGTCGTGCGAACCCAAAAGAAAAGCGATTTTTCTTTCGTTATCAGAAAAACTTGAATTTTATACCGCTCAAAGCAATTAACGCCGAAATGTTTCATGAAAATTATTTGAAATGTTAAATGAACAGTTACGATCATTGTTATTTTGTGAAATTGTATCTCAGTTGGTGACTTCTTTGTAAACATTGTTGGACTATTGACAAACCGAAGCGAATAAAGAAAAAAGAAAAATTTAAACAGTGTAATGAAGCATTCGGTTGAAATGGATTTTGTGCAAGTTAAGAAAAAACATTGAACATTTACGGTGCATTTAGAAAATTGATTGATTCCAAATATTTTGCAAAAGTGTTTTTTTTTTCAAGAAAAAGTGAGAAGAAAAACGAAAATTCGATAGAATGCCACCTGTACGAAATGGGCATTATATTAATGTAGATGATCACACTACGAATCCACTACATCTAGGATCAAATCAAGTGATTGAATCAAAAATGCCGATGCATTTGCATCCACAGCACTCGCCAAATTCAGCTGCATCGGCATCAGCAGTAGCAGCAGCAGCAGCAACGGCGGTGGTGGTGGCAAAGCAACGCAATGAATATGGAGCACCGTCAGTGCAACATCCCTCCGGATCTCATCACCAAGCCATTCAACAAACACCGCTAACTAAAGCCGAACTTCGAAAGGTAACCACGAATAAATCACATTCACATCACATTATCCAATGTGAATTACGCAAAATGAAACGAAAAAAATATCACGCTATTGATTAGGAATTTTTTGAATAGAAAAAAAAAAACAAATCTACCACTCACATTCAAACAATCGACATGATTTGTTTTTTTTTTATCGCGGTTTCAAATATGAAATTTCAAATGGCAGATTGGAGCTAAGTTGTGATAACGAAAGAGTGCAATTCAATGGATTAACGAAAAAGAAAGTGGACAAAGCATAAGGAAGTGATAAAACCGATTAAAATTTTGAAATTAGGGAATTTCAATCGCACTTTTCAATTCTGGTTCCATTTCTTTCGATAATTCTGAGATAGTAACCACAGCAAAGTCAAGATTTTTTTTTTTGAATGCGAACGCTATCATCAATATTCTATCTGATCTAGGCGATGTCTGTAATTCTTCTCTTGTTTTTTATTATTAGCACTACATGGAATGTAGGCTACTGCAGTTGTTGTTTTTTTTTTTCAAGAAAAATTTAAAACTCTTTAGGACACATTTTTTTACCGTAAATTAATTCATTTTTATATCCATATTGTTTATTTCAAATGAAGCAATTACGCCTAATTTCAAAAATGAAATAAAATCATTTTCATGAAATTCACTTTTGGGATAACTCAAAAAAAAAAATTTTACACTTTTTCATTACCAATGTGAAATAATGTACAATTGAATGGACATAAAACCACATAAGTGAAGAATACAATATCATTTTATTAAGAGTTTCGCTTAAAAATACATTCCATGTAGTGCTTACGATTATAATTTGGTGTGAAACATCAAATTAATCAAAGCCCTTAAAGAACACCGCAACTGAGTAGACTGGCTGTACGATTTTAATACGTAGAGTTCTACAGCTTTCAGTGGCGAGTTGCGTCCTACTTTACAAGCTTCAAGAACGCAGAGCGGAGCGAAGCGACGATCTGCGGTCTTGTTTTATTTTGGAAATACCAACTGTATTTACAAATTTTTGTTCAACCACATACATTTAATTGTATGTGATTTCCAATTAATCTGAATAGCATGTACAGAAGCATTTGATTGCAATTATCACAAAGCCCCAAAAAAAAACAATCCCTAATGAGTAAATCCCAATCATTCTCTGCCTCACTTTGTGCGAATAATATTGCGTAGATCAAAACATTCGTTGGCCCATTCAACTCGATGACCAGACAGAGTTTGATAAATACATTTTTGATGTCGTTGTTGTTGTTGCATGCCTGACCTTGCGTCGTCCGTTTCGCCAAACACATCTCATCTGTATTTCAGTTGATTCGGGCTCGTAATTTCGTTCGTATCACAACTCTGAAACACTCTCTATCCAAAAAAAAGAAGAAGAAGGAAAAAAACAGCAACACTATTCGAAATATGTTCTCTCTCTCTCTCTCTCTCTCTCTCTTTCTCTCGCGTGCTCAAATCCTAAGAGAAAAGCAACAGAAAAAAACCGCCAGCGATTTTATCACTGTTGTTCTTTATTCGCTGACGTACAATGTGATTATTGCCGTTCTTATCAAATAAGATGTGAAAATTTGTGATTTTGGTCATTGAGACTTATCTCGGGGAACGAGCGAAAAACAAAAAAACGTGATGTATATAGTATGTGTTTTCTTTTTCGTTCGTGTTACCTTTTTTTTTTTCATAAATCGCTCAGATTATTCACAGTCAATTATTGTATTTAAACTCATGCGCGTGCCCAACGATTTCAGCCACACGAACAGCGTACTTCTAACAGGAAAAAAATAAATAGAAGTGAAGCGAGCGAGAAAAACGAATCGGATGTGTGAGATCACATGTACACAATCCGTTTTGTTGCGGACGGCAGACTCGAACGAGATTCGATTATCTGTTAGTTTTTTCTGCTCGTTTTTTTTTCTCTCGTTGTTATTGAACAAAATGAAGAGCAAATGATTGGATTTGTTAAAATCGTAATAAATGAAGATATTTTATCGAATATTTGAGATCAGTTTTGAGTTGAATTTTGGCGTTTTTATCATTTTTACAAACACACACACGCACATTACAATTACATCATCGACAAACGGTAGAAAAAAAAATGCGAACCAAGTCAATTGCGTCGCTTTCGATGATCTTCTCGGTTGATTTGATAATAAAAATTAACATAAGCTTTAACAACTCAACTGAAAATACACACTGTATCTGTGCATTCACGAAGTGAGTGCGTAATTCGTGCGAGGCTCAACTCAGGAGCCACATCAATTAGAATATATAGTAGCGTTTGCTTCTGTGCCGAAATTGCAATATGGCCAGTGATGCGCAGCAACAACGACAGTCAGTGTGTCGGTGTGTTAACACCGAAAAGTGTGAAAAAAACACGATGTTCATTTGAATGACATGCGCTCACACGCTCGCGCGACATCAGCAAATAACAATATCAACAAAGGAATAAAAAAAAATTGGTAGAACAGCGATGGGAACAGTTCGGATTTAAAAGTCGGCTTTTATATGATTTCGGAGATGAAAAAATTCAAGTATGGATCCAAGCTTCGAAACTCTGCTAACTCGAGTCATTGTTGAATTCAAACTGAAACTATGAGTCATAAGGCTTGAATAAATCGTAGAAATACCAACATTTTCTTGAGGAAAAAGTTTAAATTCCAATAAAGTCCATCTTGAACACGTAAACTGATGCTAAATTGAAAATTCCTTGCGGCGCTTGCAAACACATGCCCATCTTTACCGGCCAGTATTGATGCAGAATCACACACAACAAATCTACTTTAGTCATACACACATAACACATGCTTTCGTAGCGTTCGCGTGCGCTCGTGCAAAACGTTTCATCAATTATCAGTTTACTTTTCACTTTTCTTGTCTCAACACATTTTTTCGGGCAAACGAACGTTTGGCGCTATGGGGACAGATTTGCTTTGGCTTGTGTGTACGTGTGTGCGTGTGTGCGTGCGTGCAGTGGCGGCGGTGACGACGACGGTGATGGTGGCGGCTGACTAAAATCTCTCACACTTTTGACGTGTAAAACAAACTATGATCATAATCAATTCCGGTCGATAGTGAGCAAAATAGATTTTATGAGCCTGTTTCACTTACGCTACGGATCGATGTCGATAATTTTGAATTGGGCCCAATTGAAATTAATTTGTTGATCTAATCGTTCATTGCCACTGTTGTTCGCTGTTTTTTTTTCTCGTTCGCCTGATACGTAATTAAGTGTCATTTACGTAATTTTTGCGATCATATCAATTAAAAGAAGAAGAAGAAGAATCAAAAAAATAATACGAGCTTAGAAAGTGTATGATGATAGAAAAATCATGTTTGCAACATTCAAATAACAAACATCTTATTATGAATGCGGAGAATGCGCGCTTATCTGTTGAAAAAGGTCATTTTTGACAGCGGTAGAATGAAACAAAAAAGTGCCTTGTCTCGTTTCGCCCGATGCATCATGATAGTATCACGAGTCAATTTGATATTTCCGCATATAAAAAAATGTGCACGTGAGGAAAGTGCAATGTTGACATGCGTTTATAAACCTTTGAATTTCAACTAGAATTAGATCATTTGGCGGCGATCTTTCGATGGTTCTTCTTTTGTGGATTTATGAAACAAAAACATTTTACAAAATTAGAGTAAATGATCGTTTCAAAAAATTCCTCTTTATTTCTGGTTAATTCCCGATAAATAATTTAGAACGTTTTCTTTTTCTTTGCAGTCCAATAAGCCGATAATGGAAAAGAAGCGTCGTGCCAGAATAAATCATTGTCTTAATGAGTTGAAGACATTAATTTTGGAAGCGATGAAAAAGGATGTAAGTGTCGAATTGAAAACTTAAAACAACCAAAGTAGTTTGTACGCAATGGTTTAGCCGTTCGTCATTTTCTCATTGAGAAGGAGTGAGCTCTTCTTTCATTTCGATAGCATAAACATTGCATACGCTAGTGTGCCCTTCACCAGTGATCTGAGATCGCTTGTGTATCTCTTGAAAATGGTTATGGTTGTGTGTGTGTGTGTGTGTGCGTATTTGTCTGTCTTTGTATGCGTGCTCGAGCTACGTGAGATCGTTATGCTATCAAATCGATTATGCATTGCACGTTCCCACGCTTTCGATCTCAACGGAAGACCGAAGGAAGCGAACCAAATTGCTGTGCATCACTCATACATGCACATAAATATGATTCCAATATGAAGACGGTCGATCGGTTTGTACGGTCGAGATGATTATAGTGTATTTTGCCCCTCTTTTTTTTCGATATCAATCTCAATGGATTTTGTAAAGATATATTTGATTTCCATCAATATTCCATATATTTCGTTTTGGGTTCCTTTATTCATTTATGTTCTTTCTTATTATTAGCCGGCACGACATACGAAACTGGAAAAGGCTGATATTCTTGAGATGACTGTGAAATATCTGCAAACGATGCAACGTAACCAAATCAATGCGGCCAACAATGTACAAAACGATCCCACCGTTTTGTATAAATTCAAAGCTGGCTTCTCTGACTGCACCAACGAAGTGAGTCGGTATATAAATCAAATTGACGGCGTCGATGCAACTGTTAAGCAGCGTTTAATGGGCCATTTGAATAATTGTGTTACGGGCATACAACAAGTAGCCACACCACAACCGTATAGTTCATTAGGTAGCTCAACTAATACCAGTAAGTATAAACATAAGAGCACTTTACAATTTTGCCTATCTAATCGCTTGGTTTCTTTTATTTAAACAAAAAAACACCATTCAAAAATGAGTACAAAATTGACATGTGATACAGAAAAAGACACGCAAAACAAAGTATAAAGAAAAAGCGTTGAACAAACAAATGAAAAAAGGAATGATCAAACCAAAAAGGAAGACAAAACAAACAACAAATCTATGGGTGAGATTGAGAGTAGTGTATGTTTCATTGACTTTGTTACGAAAGAGAAGAGCAAGTTTCTGTCGACTTAAAAATGGTTAAAAGCGAGTATGTTCGTTTTTAGCGGGTCCTCGCGGTTTTTCACGGTTTCCGCGGAACTGATAAGAGATAACAACTTAGTGTCTTCGGCAAAGTTGTAGCACTCGAGGTCTTCTATAACAATGCTGAATTCAATTATCTCTTATCTCTTATCAGTTCCGCGAAAAGCGCGAAAAATGATAAGAAAAAAAAAGTTCCATATAAAATTTGCTTTTTTATATGTGCGATTTGCGCGCAACTGATAAGAGATAAGAGATAACTGTCTCTAGCTTAGTTATAGAGGACCTCGAGTACTACAACTTTGCCGAGGACACCATGTTGTTATCTTTTATCAGTTGCGCGAAAACCATGAAGACCGCGGAGGCTAGACGGTACTACAACATACTCTACTTCAACGCCAACAGAATCATCAGAAAACATACTCGCCTTTTCAAAAATATAAATCGAAGAAAAAACATACTCCACTCTCAATCTCACCCATAGAAATAAATAACAAATCTCAATAAAACTTTTCTGGAATGAAAAAACAAAGAAAACTAATAAGAAAACACAAATGTTTTTCATCCACCAGATTTTCCCTATCGGCCAAGTGGCTTCAGTAGCAGCCCGGATTTGTTCGGAAGTGCGTCGAGTAGCAATGCGGCGAATCCGTTGTATCAACAGTTGCCATTGAATTTACCAGTGACACCGGAGATAAATAACAATAGTCGCATCCAAATGGGTGGCGTTCAATTTATTCCATCGCGTCTGCCATCCGGCGAATTTGCATTGGTCATGCCAAACACTGGAAACACGCCCGAACAATGGAAACAATACTATCCAGTGGATTCATTGTCATTGCGTCACAATAATTTGGATCTAAACGAATCATTACCGCGTAGTGCATTTAGTAATGTCACAAAAATGGCCAAACATTTGGACACGAGCCCGTTGAGTCCGGCATCATCGATGTCTAGCATAGACGATTCGTCAACAACACAAACGGATCTACAAACATCGATCGAAACATCGAGTCCACAGCGAACGCCACCGAAATGTTTGAGTGCATTTCCAACACCGCCGTCTGGTGGTTCCATTACATTGATTCCAACCACAACAACAACAACAACAGCAACGCATTCCACTCCATTACTCAACTCTACCATTACATCAGCGCCATCGTTGCAACAGCAACACGTCACGTCCACAACGGAACAGTCATCGGCCGGCATTTCATCACGCATTAAGCCCATTTCACTTGAGATGTGTATGAAAGACAGTGAATCGGAGACGATAGCCGATTATAAATATGTTGATGGTAAAAAGCGACCGCATTCAAATCAATCGGCCGAAAATGAAGACGATGACGATGGTGAACCATTGCCAAAAATCCGGGCCAAATCAGAGCAATCATCACCACCGTCATCGTCGCCACCGCCGCCACTGTCAGCACCGCCAATGACCAACGAAAACGCCGTCAAATCGGAAGAATCAAGTAATGACAATGATCAGTCAGAGGAGGCTGGCAACGGTGACATGTGGCGACCATGGTGAAAATCGCATCCATACACGTGCTATCTCATCACTTTTTCAAGTTTATTTCAACTTTTCTTCTATGTAACTTGATTTTTGATAATAACTTATCATCACACGACTCCTTTTTTTGTATTTTTCTTATTTAATTTTAAGAGAGACATTTTTGCGTCGGTCTTGTATTTGTTTGTTTGTTTGTTTCGAGTGAGAATGATTTTTCAAAAAGCCAGACTTTAATTCAAGCACATCAAATTCTAATTTTTTTTTTTTATAAAACAAACCGTTATCATAATATAATTCTGTGATTTCTCTGATATTAAGTGCCTAAATAAAGAATATCGTTAAAACAATGGAAATTCTGCATTTAAATAGACATTGGGACGGTTTTTTTTGTTTTAAAATTTGAAATGTTTTCGCTTTAAAACTGTTGGCAGGTTTTAATCCAATGGGTGCATTTAATGGGCTTAAAAGCCAGCCAAACTCTTGACAAAAAGCAGGCAATCCGAGGTAAAAAAGCTTCATGGAATTTTCGTATTAGAATTTTCGATAGTATACACACACCAAATGCCGACTATTTTGACAGATGGCCCACTAACAACTGATGATTTACGTATGACTTTCGAACGTTCGGAGTTTTTTTTTCGTTGTCTTTCGTTGTTCTCTTGCTATATTTTTTTTTTGTGACAAATACAATACATCGAACAGAGAGTGAGTGATACAGAACGAGAATCATGGTGTTTTTCAGTTTTTGTTTTGCGTAGGAGATAGAGAAAACGAGCGACACGACTGTGTGTCTAAAATTCGACAACATCCATTGGAGCAAACACCATGAATTTCAATGTAATTTGTTTTAAATTTTTTTGTTTTGAATATATTTTGTGTCTTAGAACATAGTTAAATATTTGGATTGTGTTTAGTGCATTTTAATAAGGTTCTATTGCATGAAGAGGGTAAAAAACACAAAAAATGGACTTTTTATCACTAACTCAGCTGTTTGACAGCGAAAGTGAAGACTAATGTAAACATTTGCGAGTGCTTCAGTAGCCGGTTTGATATATATATATATATGTGTGTGTGTGTGTGTTTGTTGTGCCGACTGAGAAGTACGAATACGTGCTCAACTGATAGAGACAGACAGAGAAAGAGAGAGAGAAAGAGAGAGAAAGAGAGAGAGAGCAAAATGAAAAGCAGAAACCAATTTCTAAATTTACAAAGTCCAACTTGCTTTCCAAATGCTTCTATTTAAACATGATTCTGATTTTGAATAAGGATAAATGCGTCGTTGTCGCAATTGTGTTGCGTGTATTGTGTGAGCGTTAGAAGTGAACGAAACGAGAAAATCACAAATCATAAAGAGGGTACACACAGTACAAGCCGAGCACCAAGTGAATATTGATCGGCCGGACGAAAACAAAATCCAAAGTAACGAAGGAAAATAAAAACTATATACAAAAACACTGAAAAAGCTAGTGCCCGAGAGTTGAACAAAACGCGCAAACCAAACGAATGCTTCATTCAGTCAACGATGATAAGTCAATGAGAAAGCAAGGAAATTTGTTACAACAGCTACATAAACATCACGAGCACAAACGCGAGAGAGGTCTGTTTGGCTGTTGTTTGTAATAATTTACATGTTTCGGTCGGTTCATTCAATTACAATCCGTTTATTGTTTTTTTTTTAAGTTAATTCATTGTTGTTTGTTGTTTAATTGATAGTTCCTTGTTGTTTGAAATCATGAGCATATCTTAATTCGGCACAACTGATGGGCTGGCCATATCGTTTAATCGAATCATATTTGTTGACTTGTTTATAGTGTGATTGTTTTGTGAATTTTAAACATGCATCTTTCGCTGCAGTGATTTGTATTCTTATTAAATTCAATTTAATACTATGGTGTGAGGAAGCATCACGACTCGCACATGAAAACAAAAATACGCGCCCGTTAACAATCGTTTTATGCATTGCATTATATGAACGCATTTTTTTTGAGTATGGCTTCATGGCGTTTCGTGTATGTATGCAATATTGCTTTGTTGATTACATGTGTTACTGAATCGTAAGAATTTGAAATGTAACTAAAATTGAACTGAAATGTATCATTTAACGATAAAATGTTTCGAAATTAAGATAACAAGTGGTTTCATTCATTGCAAACAATGAGACTGTATAGTGTTCCGTTCATCGTGGCGTCTCTCTGTCTCTCTCTCTCTCTCTCTCTCTCTCTCTCGTTCTCTTGGTATCTCTCAGCTCACGATTTATTTTCCTTCAAACAGTACACACGAATCCATTCAATTTGTTGGCCTCGTTTGAAAAGAGCATAAAATCGAAAATTGGATTTATGCCGTCAATTGCTGTTCACTCTACATTTCACCAGCTCAGTCCTGTTGACAAATTAGTTCGAACCAAGAATCCGTCGTTTGCGGTGCATTGTAATTTGTTACAGAAACGGTTTTGTCGGTTTAATCTTAACGAAACGGGAGAGTTCTGTTGAGAAAGTGAAATTGAATGTATGTGTGTGCGCGTGTGCGGTCGCCGTAAATCTTCAGCTTGATAAATTGCCCATATGCAAATTAATCGGTATGCGGTATGCGAGTTGTGAACATCTTTGTGTGACACAGCGACCGAGCGCAAAACAGGCGAACACACTTTTTGCGGTCGATGTTTGAAAATGTAAAAGGAAATCAATTGTGATAGCATAAACAATGTTGATGGCCATATATAGAAAAATGAGATTCTAGACTATCGCATAATGATCACGCCCATATATAAATCAATTTGTCAATTTCGCGTTTTAAAAACACACGGCGATTACAATCCACGGCGGATTTTCACTTTTTGCCCAATGAAAAGAAGAAGAAAAACCAAATCGGATATATGTATTCACATTTACTCGTGGCCAGTTCAATTACAATACCGCTCGTTGTGCGGCATCATTGCAACCGACAACGGGCTTCATTAGAGAAATGTACACACAACTCATATTGATTTCAATGGAGAAATGCACCATCAACACTAATTGAATAGTACAGTGTTGCACACAGTTTAATATGCTTCTGTGTTTGACACACATTCCATGCTCAATCTCATTCGGTGCTCTTTTTTTCTCACTTCTTACGGCCACTTCTTTCTCAATTTAATTATACATTGGCATGAAGTATTTTCCTGATCTGATACCCGTCCATTGCATCAAAAAGTCGTTACAAATACATTTCGTACGTTGCGCAGCATGCATGCTTGCTAATCGTTACTATAACGTATTGAGAATTCAGAAAAAAAAAACAGAAGAAGAAGTAGGAAGAACCAAAGTGTTTGTAGAGTTAAACAGTTCAATGGGCTTTTTTTTTAGTGGAGTTGATTTGTTATAATTCTGGTTCCTGTTGAATTAACACAACGAGTTATAAAATTTTTGAAAAGTGAGTTTTGACATTTTCATACCGTTGAAAAAAAAAATCGACTAAATTTTTCATCTTTGTGGTTTTTTCTGCATTTAGCAGATTTTTGTGAGAAATTTTCTTCAACTCTCTTCAAAATAGTTCGGAAGTTCTAACGCCGTTCAGAATACTCCTCTGGTTTTACTTTCAATTTCGTTTTTTTTTTCGATTAGTTTTTGATTCTTCTGAACTGAATCCATTTCAGGATTTTTTATCCTTTTGCTTTTCGAATTTTTCAATCTCAACTTTTAAAATAACCTGTGACCGCACGCAGCTTCCAAAATAATACGTTGAGGCACAAAAAATTGAAAACTATTCCACACTTTGATCGTTCAGCTTTAATTCTGAACATTTTTGAATGACACTGATAATTGGCCTTCTGTTGTTTTCTATTCAACTTTTTTTTCTTCTTCTTTTATAATATTCTTAATAAAGATTTGTGATACCGAGAAAGGTCTTAAGCCAAACTGGTTTCGATTTCATCACATCATCATCATCGTCACCATAACCGAGTTGAGTTGAGTCAGGATATAATTTATCTTCTGCAAAAATTGCGTTTACATATTTTGACACCAGAACAAGTTATCGGCTTTACCAATTTAGCAATTATAATGAGCAACGGTGTGTGTGTTTTTTTTTCTTTTGATTCGAATGTTTGTGTTTGAATGATTACATTTGTGTGTAGACGATCAAATAAGCATTTTATTTATGCAATATATGTGTGATTTCAATGCGTAAACCACTATACATTACCTCTTGCAATCCATATATTTATTTTGGTGGGGGGTTCAGTGACCGATTAATCCAAACCAAAAACACCCATTATTAATATTTAAAATGATGTATTTTTTTGTTAAGTGAGAGTGAAGAAAAAAAAAGTTGATTGATGGCGGAGTCTTCTTTGATTTATTTATAAATAATGTAATTAATCAATTTCATTATGGTGTATGAGATAAGTAATGAGCCTCTTCATTGTTTTTATTATCTTAGCTCAATGTGATTTTGGCTGCCGAATTCCCATGAAATGGCTCTAATTGAATTAATCTGCATTTTCAATATATTTAAGACAAATCACAGCAAAAGATAAAAACATTTTAACCTATTTTTCTAATCACCATTTTTGGATCACACGCGCTTTTTGTTGAAACCGAAATTACTGTTGTTTTTCTCGTATATGTTTCATACAATTTACTTTTCCACTGAACCATTTCCGTGGAATGTTTTGCCGCTCATAATCTTTCCCTTTATCACTTTCGATATAAGATCGCAATCCATTTTGCATTATAAATAACGGACGTTCTCAGTGGTCTGTCGTGATTTGACATTGATTCCGTGCAAAATACAAAGCGTTATTACACTTCCGTGCATACAAAATTATTACGAGCATTTACGAACAAAAAAAAAAGGAATAAAAAACCGATTTAAATTCTAAAACTTATCGCTTGAATTTCCTACCATTTTTTCCACAGACAAGACTCAGTGTTGTTCAGTGGTCGTGTTGTCACCGTTAAATTTTGCCAAGAAATTAGAATTGCTGCATAGAAAAAAAGATAAAGAGAGCTACATTGTATTTTTACTGTAATTTGTTTGAGAGAAAAAAATATATCACCATAGGTTCTGCGTGTTCTTTTGGTGAGTTGTTTTTTTTTTTAAGACATTTGTTTTTTATCATAGTTTCTTCTATGGAAAAATATAATATCGTTATTTTTTTCTATTTTAATACTTTGTTCAGTTTGTTATTTTTCTTTTATTTTTGATTTGAACTTTTTTGTTTCAATTTTTCCGTTTTATGTGTCATAAACAGATTCCCGAAACAGAGTCATGCGACGTAGTCGATACGTTCTGAGTTTTGTATTCGGTTTTATGATGTTCAGTACAAAAGATGCACGAACACAGGGGCTTCTCTATCCGCGAGAGTCCGAGACGAGAGAAGTGAAAAGTTTGGATGGAATGTGGAATTTTGTGAAGTCCAATGAAACGGCACCAACTGAAGGTATACGGGATAAATGGTATCTCGATGATCTGAGCAAGGTATGTGTACATGGTTTTACTTTCGTTTTCCGTTTGCAATTTTCAAATATAAATACATTCCGTACGCATTTGAAGCCAGAGCGAAAGAGATATCTCTTTCTCTCTCTCTCTAGAGAAGAGAAAATCAAAAATCGAAATTTAATACAATGATCGAGCGATTACACAGGTGCACAAAACAATTCCGATGCCCGTTCCGTCTAGTTACAACGATATCACTGAAGACAATAATTTACGCGACCATGTCGGCACTGTCTGGTATGATCGGAAATTCTTCGTTAGCGCATCATGGGCACAAAACAAACGTGTTTGGATACGCTTCGGTAGTGTTCACTATGAGGCATACGTTGTAAGTAATGTGCAATCAAATTCAATATATCATTTTATATTTAATGCTTTCGCTTAATCGCAAGTGTTCTGTCCAGCAAAACGCTGTCGAGTTTGCTACTTTGTTTTTCATCTTCTCTTCACCGCTTCTTCTTCTTCTTCTGCGTTACTATTTACTATTTGCTTTCGTAAACAAATCCGCTCGCCCGACCAAAATTGGATGGGTGTTTTGTGTGTATGTGTATGTTTTTGAGCGACCGTGTCTCGTAATTTTGTAAACAATTTCACGCACGTATGCGCAATCAAATTTTAAATGTTTTTTTTTATCGCCCATTTGTATGTAATTTATTGATTGTTTCCCGCTAATTTGAATGTTTAATTGAATTTGATTGTTTCCTTTCATGTTCAGTACATTAATGGGATCATGGTGGTAAAACACGAAATAGGACACTTACCGTTTGAGGCTGACGTCACCGATGCACTGAAATACGGTGAAGAGAATCGTATCACGGTTTTATGTGATAACGCATTACTTGCCAACACAATACCGCAAGGGAAAATCACCGAGTTGTCAAGGTACACATTTGATATTGAACTCATTTATTTTGACAATGCGACGTACTTGAACTGTGTCAAAACACTTCTTTTCTTAACAAATCTCTTGGAGAAATTCGCTTGTTATTTATCGATTTTTTTGCTTCACAGCGACAACAATGGAACGTCAATCGTGCAAACGTACACATTTGACTTTTTCAACTATGCCGGCATACATCGTTCGGTTGTTCTGTATACCACGCCAATAATTCACATTGACGATGTCATCACAACAACGAATATTGTCGATCAACGCGGTCGCATATTCTATCACGTATTGACCAATAAGACTGATCAATCGGATTTAAGTCTCTTTGTTACAATCCAAATACGAGATCGCGAAGGTGAAATTGTTGCTACATCAAGATCACCGGAAAATGACCTCAAAGGTTATATCGAAATAAAAAATGTGAAACCATGGTGGCCATATTTGATGCATCCAGAGCCAGGATATCTCTACACGATGGAGGTGATTTTGAGCATATATTTTTCACATTTGAATCAAAGTTTGATCGTCTAGTGTGATTGAAGCCTTAGAAACAATTTCAAAGCAAGAAGAAAATTCATGCAGTTGAATGAATATTCAAAGCTGTCCAGTTAAATCTTTAGTTTCCCCATGATTCATGTTATTTCAGGTGTTCCTGTCAACCACCGCCAAAGAGAACATCGATGTGTATCGCCTCAAGATTGGTGTCCGATCGCTGCATTGGAGCAATAAAGAATTTTTGATCAACGGCAAACCGATTTATTTCAGAGGTTTTGGTCGTCATGAAGATTCAGATGTAAGTTTGCTTCATTCACTTTCCGATTTTGCAGTAATAATTTCAAAATAATTTTTCATGATATTTTATTACCTTTATTCCATCGAATTTATGTTCATATTGTCTTAGATTCGCGGCAAAGGCCTTGACATGGCATTGTTGAGCAAAGATTTCAATTTGATCAAATGGATTGGTGCCAATGCCTATCGAACATCACATTACCCATATTCAGAGGAATCGATGCAGTTCGCCGATGAGCATGGCATCATGATCATTGACGAATGTCCAAGTGTCGACACAGAGTAAAATTTCATTTAATTTCACACATCAACACACCCGTTTATTAACATTTTTTTCTCTTTCAATTGCAGTAACTATACACCGGCCTTGTTGGAAAAGCACAAGGCATCCATTGAGCAATTAATTCATCGTGACAAGAATCATGCATGTGTTGTGATGTGGTCAATTGCAAATGAGCCGAGAACTAGTAAATTTCAAGCAGATTCCTATTTTGAGTGAGTGCACCGCGGATCTATTTTGATTTTTTTTTATTAATATTCATATTTAATTGAAACGATTGTATCAACACAGAGCTGTGGCGAATTTCACGAAATCATTGGATCCAAATCGTCCAATCACTGCTGCTATCGCAGTCCCACCCAACGATGATAAAGCGGTAAATTGATTTTTCCTTTTTTGAAAATTTTTAATTGTCTCGATACCAAAAAATGACATTCTGATCAAAAACCAAATATTCTTCTTTGAACAGGCACAATTTCTAGATATAATTAGTTTCAATCGTTACAATGGATGGTAAGTGTGATGGTATTTGTGTAAGTGTGATTTTTTTTGTCATGGTAAAATTGTGTTTCAGGTATTCAAATCCTGGCCGATTGGATATGATTACATCTCGAGTTGTGGACGAAGCAATTTTGTGGAATTCAAAGCACCAAAAACCGGTACTGATGTCCGAGTATGGAGCGGATACTGTTGAAGGATTGCATTTCGTAAGTGAACTTCCAATCAAGCGTCATTCAAATAGATTTGATTATTTTATAACGGTTAATTGATTAATGAAACTTTTCCCTATTTGTATCGACTGAATTTTAGCTGCCCTCATTTGTATGGTCTGAAGAATATCAGCGAGAGCTATTTTCGAGACACTTCAAAGCGTTCGATCAACTACGGCGTTACGGATGGTTTATTGGCGAATTTATTTGGAATTTTGCTGATTTCAAAACAAATCAAGGTACATGCAATATATTTTCATCGTGTTTTGGTAAAATACCCGACCGGTGATTTTTCTTCTTAATAAAAACTTTTTACTCGGGCTTTAGCTTGAAGCAATTAAATTTTTAGATTTAATTTCAATCTATTTTTTCCAATAATCGCAGCATACACACGAGTTGGTGGCAATAAAAAGGGAATATTCACGCGGAATCGGCAGCCGAAGGAGGCCGCGCATCATGTTCGAAAGCGATATCACTCACTAGCCAATCAAATGGAACAGTCGAAACTGCCAGATGATCTATTCCCATACCTAGTCGATGAAAACCAAAAAATTGACAACCG